GATGTGCATTAATTGAAGATAGATTAATTTGTTCTAGATATAACAAAATTATAGAAGGCAATAAAATAAAACTTTAACCAAAAAAAAAATCATATCTGAGAAAATGTCTAACAATATTTTGTAACTCAACAATAACAAACAATTCATCTCATTTTTTATTTTTTGTGCTATATAAAAAAATTATGTATGTGTGTGTAATTGTGTGTATCATGAATAGATAGCTAGTATGAATTATTTTTTAATATCATAAAATACAAAAAAAATGTTTCCAATAAATTAACAATAGTGGTAATTAGGTCAAAATAAAGAAAACTTAATTTCCTGAAAAACAATTTTAGGATTCAAATCTTGAGAAAAAAATCATATTGGAAGAGCTATAATACAATGACACTGATAACTAATATATATATATATATATATTAAAAAGAATACTACTGTTCACAAGGATTACTCGGTCCTTCACGTATCATGTATAATTAGTAAATTAAATTAAATGGTATGATATGCTTCACACTTAACATTGTAGTCTGATCTAAAGGCCTCCTAAATCAACTCGCAATCATATTTGACTCACTGGATGGTCACATGGCGACAGTGCGCGGTTTCAGAAAGAAGTCATTTTGGATTTGAGCATTAGACTTCATAACTAATAATATAGTCTATTGTCAAGTGTTACCCTACCCTTGCAGCTAACTTAATTAATAAAAATTTAATTTATAACTCAAAATATTATGAGATCAAATTTCGCTATATGCCAAAATAAGAACTTGATTAATAAGTGATTTATAAATATTTTTATAAATATTCTTTAAATCTGAAGGTGTGCTTGGTGAGCCTCTAAAACCATATAAACTTATATAACGGCGCTAGCTAAAACAAGGAATTACCAAAGGTCGTTAATACATAATTATTTAATATAATATTTCTATGCTCTTTAGTGATTCCCAACATGACTATGGCATTCACATTGATATGGTTAAAGTTTAAATTTGATCTCTTAATTTTATAAAGTATATTTTCAGTTCTCTAACTCTAATGCCATTAATTAAAAATGTTTTTTGTGTTAACAATTGTTTATTTTAAAAAAAATTAAACTTAACTTATCAACATTTAAAAATATTTTATCAATATTTAAAGTTTAATGTATGGATTCTTTATTGATAAAATTAACGGTGTTAAGAATTAAAATACTGAAAAGGCCGTGTACAAAATCAAATGACTAAAATGAAATATTGTGTAAATTTAAAGGATTAATAGTGAACTTTAGCTTATTCATATTATGAGCACATAATGCGATAATTAATCAATCCAAGAATATTGGTTCTGTCTAATTAAAAACATAATCATAGAATCTTCAACCATGTTGAAAGCTGATGGCACCTCCCTCACAGATTTTGTAGTCACAAGTTTTATTTTTATTTTTTATTTTTTTGAGAGATTTTGTGATGAAATTTTATATTTTTTGTTGCAAATCTGTTGTGAAAAATTTCTGAGTGTATTTGTGATGGATTTTTGTTTGTCACAAACCCGTTGCAAATATTCTGTCTTTTTAGTGATTTTTGTATTGGGAGAAAATTTAGTTTCATTATAAGTATTTCGGTCTTCAAATTTAAAAAGACTGTAATATATTTCATTGGTGAAAAAAATAAAAAGTAATGTTAATAATTTAATATAAAATATAATATTTTCAACAAGTCGTACTGATTATGGATAATATAATTTATTTCAAATTCTATATAATACAAAGACATACCATTTAATTAAATGACTGTTTCGCATGTGAAGCTAATGTGAGAAGAAAAAATGCATGGCCGCCACTTGCCTAACCGAGTGCAAGAATGAAACGGCTAGAATGGTTCCAGGAAGCATACATCATTGTACTTTTCTTTTTGACAAAGGAATTTATCAATTTATATTACAAATAGATCATAAATAATTTATTTATTTATTTTCAACTTTCATATATTACCAAACCCTCCTAGTGGATCCTTAATTCTTTATACGAAGACTTAAAGACTAGAAGCTCTATTTGACTTGTATAATGGGTTTAGATTTTAGAACATATTCTCAACGCATAAAATAAAATGTGAGATACATGATGTTCTATTTTAATTATTTTAAAAATTAATATATATATATATATATATATAAGGATTATTTTTTATTCATAAAATATTCATCAGCAGCGTTAGTAATGGGTACTTTATCCACTCAAATCAGAGGCCACAAGAGCCCATCCAAATCCCAGTGAGAAATTAAAGCCCACATTTGGGCCCAATTAATCCTAATAGACTTTGTGCCTTCTCATAATTTTTTTTTATTTTTATTACTATCATTTTATTGAAGATAATTCTATTCAAAGTATTATCACCTACTAAATATGCATATCTCTTTCAGTGAAAATTTAATTCATTATGTCACGAGAAATTAGTCTCTTTGAACTTAAACCTTATTGTTGCCTTCTCTCATAATTGGCACTGCACTTAATGCCTAACTCGTTCCAACCAACAAAGGCCTCGCGGAGTGTTGCGTTGCTCGTCGCTGTGGGGACTAGGGACCCGGAAAAAGTGGATAAGCAGAGGTAGACCTGTGTTTACGGATGTTGCTCCACCATAAAAGGTACAAATTGCAAATAATATCCCCAAGAATTCAATTCTCACCTCACTTGAATGTACGTAAATTTTCATATCTGCCCTTATAATGAGAATTTCACTACTATAGAAGTTGATAACTTAATATGACTTTTGAGGGTACATTTGAGACTACAAAATAGAATGAAACAGAATGCTCATTAATGAAATGTAACAACAGTGGAGTGTGATGGTCTAATAGAATAGGATATGATAAAATATTTTATTTTTTGGGAGTTTTATAGAAAGATTAAAAATTTTATTTAATTAGTATCCAAGGATTATTATAAAATTAATATATTTAAATTACTTATAATAGAATTTTTCCAATTTTGGAGCAAGGGAAAGTGAGAGAGTGAGATAAGGGTGAGAGGAATCGGATAATTTTATAATAATATTATTTATATAAAATTATTTTATCTTTAACTCCCACAATTAGCAGGTTAGGGAAATTTGATTTAGATTTTCAAAGCATAGCTTGCAAGAATATCTCAAACTATTTCATTATATTTTAAAAAATTCTCTCAAATAGTAATATAAAACGTTTAATCATCCTATTCAATTTCATTCTTAAAAAAAAAATTCGCAAAAAGTACCTTCATATAAATGTTATTTATATTGAGATAATTTTAATTTTTTTATGCTATTGTAATTGTACAACTTTTGTATGTTTTCTTTTGTATTTAATTTTAATGAATTTCATGATTATAATAATTTAAGAAAAAATTACAAATAGGTCATGTATATTAGACTTATATATAAATAAATTTTGTGAAACTCAAAAATTACAGTCAAATCTCTTAAAATTTGAGTATAATTTGTAATTAAAATACAAAGATAACACTGTCCCTTAATATAGTATGGAGTTAATGATAAAACAAGAAATTTGACTTTGTGAATCATGAATTTTTTCTTATAAATTGTTAAGTTATAATTTTAATTGAAAACCAAATTAGCAGATATCTTTGTTGCATCCCAATATCAAATTACACTTAGGTAATTCAAGGGACTATAAATTGTGCTCCTATTAATTCCAAGACACCTTTGAAAGTAGTATAGGCTAAAGACTGATTTGGGATACAAACTTCAAAACATAATAGCATTTTATCTTAAGCTATCAGAATAAGCTAAGTGAACCAAAAATTTGTGCAAATGGAAAAAAACAAAAAAAAATTGTGCAAGAAAAAAAATTGAAGAAGATGATTGGAACAAGAAGCGTTACATAACAATTAGTAAGAATGATAAATAAATCCCTATAAAATATGAAAATGACAATTTAATTCTATAAAATGTGATAATATCAATGAAATCTTAAGAGATTTTTTTGAAATTAAATTTCTATATAGAATTACTTTAGTACCTATGTATAACTAATTTTATTGGTTCACAAATTTGGTATGAGTACTTGTAGGTTCAGTTGCACCAATGATTAAAATGATTTAAAAAATTAAAACTTTTTATCAATAATTTTTTTCATTTAGCAAAGTCTAACTAATTTTATTTGGTTCATAAATTTAGTATAAATATTCACAAATTTGATTCTATCATTGATTAAAATTATTTAAAAAATCACAACTTTCTATCAATAAAATCTAACTAATTTTATATCATTTATAAGTTTGATATAAATATTCGCAAGTTTAATTTTATCATTGACTAAAACTATTAAAAAAATTATAACCTTCTAAATTATAGTGGTACTAAAATAATTTTACACAAAAATTTAATGTAAAAAAGTCTTTTAACATCTCACTGTCATTATCATCATATTTCATAATATCAAGTTATCATTTTCTCAATTCAAAAGAATTTATCTATCATTCTAACTACCAATTATTGCATGAATGCCAATTATTGCCCTAGTGTTCCACCTCAACTCACACACATATACAGTGAGATCAAATTATTGTCAAGTAACATCAAATGTTGAAGTGGGTAGGCAGGCCTAAAAGTGGCCATTTTTTCCCACTCAAAAATGTCTGAGTAAGTGAATAACACCTGAAAAAAAATATTTTAGCTCCTCCCAAACTTTATTTTATTTTCTTTCCTTTTACTTGTAATCAAACATATTCATGTCAAGCTATTTAGTTGGCTACACTATTAAACCTTTGAACTAGTGTTCTCAGCAGTTTAATAAAATTATCTATTTATAACCCGATCTAATCATGTTTTAACTACAATTTTAATTTTTTAACTTTTAATTTTTAAACTGATATTTTAATCAATTCAATTTTAGATTATTAGGCACAGCAACAACAATAAGTTGGGGGAGGGATAACGACAACGAGGGAGAGAGTTGGTTTTTTCAACCTTATTTTTTTAATAGGTAAAAGATAAAAATGTTTAGCTGGCATCAGAACGTTGGTCTGGTTGGCATTCTGCTCGCATGATTCTCATTATCTTCATCATTCAAATGCACAAAAATGTCAATTGCCCCAAACACAGAGGAGATCGATCTAATCAATCAAATAGACCAACAACAAAAAGAAGGATCAAGAACAACCTCCGAAGAAACACGACCAAGATCATATCATAACCTCGTGATCTTTTCCTCTGTTTTTGTTAAGAACTCAGAGAAACAAACACACAGAGAGAGAAGGACTTGTTCTGCTTCTTTTTCGTCTCGTCATGGACACTTCACAGGCAAGAAGAAAAAGAACGTTGCTTAAGGTCATCCTCCTCGGTGATTGTGGGTATGTCTCTTCAACTATAATCATATTTTCTCAGAATTCGATTCAGATCACTTGTCGGATGATTAATTCGAGCTAACGTAGGTTTTGATTTCTCTGTCTTTTGACTTGATTTATTTCTTTTTTCAGGGTTGGCAAGACGTCTCTTATGAATCAGTATCCATTTTTACATCAAACAATGAAATTTGAATTCTTGTTCCTTGTCTGATTTCTTCCTAGGAGCAGCATTATAAATTTCCATAACATGACTGATTCTCACTCTTCTCCCTTCAACTACCAATTTTAATTTAAATTTTGATCAAATTTTCGAGCATTGTTAGGTTTAATTGGGTGATAACATTTTTCCTTATTTAAAGGAAATCGATTTTTTTTTTTTGGCTCACCTCAACCATTGTTCGTTTAATTTGACACTTTTAGTATTGTGGAACATATAACTAGGAATTCAGATATGTGTACAAGAAGTACAGTGAGCATTACAAATCTACGATAGGAGCTGATTTTGTTACAAAGGAACTTCAAGTTGATGACAAAACGGTGACTCTGCAGGTGAGAAAAATGATGATGGAGCTGCTTTGTTTTTGTTTGTGAGGAAGAATTTTGAAATAATTTTCCGGGAAAATTAATTGTGAGTGGAAAATATTGTTGGTGCAGATTTGGGACACTGCAGGGCAGGAAAAGTTCCAGAGTCTAGGGAGTGCATTTTACAGAGGAGCAGATTGCTGTGTTCTTGTGTACGATGTAAATGTACCTAGAACATTTGAGACACTGAACGCTTGGCATGACGGGTTCTCTAAACAGGTTTGTGGCATCAATTCGCTTTTTTTTTTTTTTTTCTTGATTGAATTATTGTCTCTATTATGTGAATTTTCTGATTGATGGATCATATGTGTGTCTTGTGTTTTGTTTTTTATGTTCAAGATGAGTTTGAGTACACTCGAGAGTTGAAAAAACTTACTTCCTTCGTTTAAAAATGTAATGCAATTTTTAAAGAGTTATATGTTAAAAAATATAGAGCATTTTTAATTTTTCGAGATGTAATCATTGTCCTTTTTCAAAAAAAAATTCCTATTGATAAATAACTTCATATTTATTATAGGGTGTTTAATAAGGGTAAATATAAAAAGATAGAGTTAGTTTAAAAGTAAATAACTACTTTATTTGAGATGAGATTCAATTAAAAATATCTTATATTTTTAAATGAAGATAGTATATATTTAGTTTTATATAATAAAAGCATTTGTTTTCAATTAAATTAATATATGTGGATATTTTGTAAATTATTTATTTCATAACAAACTCTTGTAACTAATGTTATTAACATATTAAAATATACTTGTATTGATTTGAATAGATAAAAATATATTAAGTATATAAGGCTAAATACCTCAATCTTACCCTTTTTTAATTTGATTATCTGATTGAATTAAATTTGATTATTGTCAAGGTGGCTTTCACAGAAGAGTTTTTTGTATTCAATATTTATATGAATTTAAACTCGAGACCTCATGTTTGAGTAGCTATAACCCTTCTATCATGATGCATGTATGTTAGTTACTTGAAAGCATTTGTTTCACAAGTTTTATATTCAAATGAGAGAGATTATGAATTACATGGTTTAAGAATAAGGTTTGATTTTTGGATAAAATAAAAATGTTTGAAATTTTTCATAAAATTTATTTGATTAATATCTGAATACTTTTATAACTTTTCATTTAAAATTATGTCAAGAAATTATAGTTTTTTCCTTAAAAATTTGCTAAATTTGTTAAGTGCCTGCTTGGTTACTTTTGCAGAAATATGGCTTTCTAGGGTTTCAATGTGTAATCAAACGTAGTCTAAAATGTATAATGAATGTGGATGTCATTTGATTTGAAATATTGAAATTGCCTAATATGTTTTCTTCATTTCCTTATTTGTTTCTCATTTATTTTCATTGCCTAAGTTTTATCACTTTCAAATGTTGATATGAAATTAGGCTTATTTATGTGTTTTCTATTTTTGTATTTGATCTCAGGCAGATTTGAATGACCCTGAAGCATTTCCATTCGTATTACTAGGAAACAAAATAGACCTAAATGTTGGGCACAACCAACCGGTATGAAAAGAGACTGACTTTATTGAATCTAATTTAATTTGAATATATTGCAACAGCATGATGTTATAGGAAGAACCAGATACCCTGGTTATGATAGACAGAAAAATGTGAAGGAAATAATATACCAAGAAGGAAAACTTAAAATTTACTATTTTTGAAAGTTTCCTCTCCTATTATTCTCTCCTTTAAAGAAAGTTGGCTTTGTTTGGTATAATAGAGGAGTTTTTGATGGAATTAGAATTGAAATTAAAATTAAAATCCAAATAGAATTAAGATATAACATGGAATCTTGTATCATTTTTAATTTTGTAAATGTATTGATAATATAAGAACACTAAAATACCCTTAACAAATTTTAAAAAATAGCAACTTTATGAGTAACGGGTGGGGGGAGGACACTAATGACAATTCCATGTAATCAACTCAATTCCATGGTACTTTGGTTGAATTAAATTTCATGATAAATTTGAATTGATGCATACCAAACTATTCAAAGCTTAATTTTGTAAGTGCATTTATAATATAAGAAGACAAGAATACCCCTAACAAATTTTAAAAATTGCAACTTTATGACTAATGGTGAAGGAGGAGAGAGGACACTAATGACAATTCCATGTAATTAGCTCAATTCCATCATGAAATGATGGAATCGGATTTAGGATATTCTAGTTGAATTAAATTATATGAGAAATTTGAATTAATGTATAATGCCCTCACTGATATTATCATATGCTCCACTATAATCTTACTAATCAAATCAAAATTATTTACTTGGAATATATTGAAAGCCTTGGGATCCCAAATAAAAAATTTTCAAAAATCATTTTACAACTCACTCAAGTATAAATCTTATTACACGTAGCAGAAGCAATAAACCTATGTGCATCAAGGATTTAGAAAACATGTGTATCACTAAAAAATAAAGTAAAAATTGACACTGTGCGCCACGACTTGTGCCATATGCGCCATGGCATGTGGCATAGAGGCCACAATTGCTCACTTTGTGTCGTACACTGCGGCATGCGAGTACATGCACCGCGACACACATACCTGAATTTGTTGTCAAATGATAGTTCCTAATATGAAATTCAGATGTGTGCCATTTTCACATATGATGTTTGATTGGGATGGTTCAAGCGCCCACATGAAACTTGTTTTAAAATCTAACTCATGACACTAGTTTTATCCCAATCCGATATTTCTATCAAAAATTGAACATTAAAGTGCACTTTAACCATTTCCTATCAAATTTTTGTCACCCAAGTGTTTTAGTTCGAAACCAAATGTCATTAGCTACTTTTTAAACTTTGACCACATCCAAATGGACATAACACAACTAATTAACCATATACATATACAATATAACACACATACACAAATTTGGCCTGCAAAATGCCCATTTCACTCTTTAGGCCAAATTCACATTTTCATTTTTTTAATCTCATATATGGCCAAATCACTACAAATAATCTCCACCCATCTTATATTCACACATAATTACATCCATTTACTGGCTCATCTAGTCATTTCATCTTTTACACATGTACTAGGACTAGAGAGTTCAAAAATTACAAAACACAACATTTACCACAATATGCATATGCTCAAGTTCTAAGGCAACTTATACATACTTTTGGCTAATAGTTTTCAAATTATTACACCATATCTTACAAAAATTTAGGTGAGAGATATCAACTCAACCTATATCCTCTTCCTTTAACCCACTAGCACCAGAACCTCAAAAATGTAAATAACTACGGGTGAGATAAAAATCTCAATAACTAAATATAGCTCACTAAATGTCTATTACCACAAATAATTATGTCAAAGTAACTAAAATCATCATATAGCACATATATATAGTATATCATAACTAAATTATCACTTTCGCATATAAATCACGTTTCAAATATTTTTACACTTTAGCATGATTAACTATCCACCAATCCTCCAAAGCTCCCCAACACGAAACCATAGGCTCTTTTGGGTCGAGGGTAGGTTGGGGGTCTACTATATGAATAACCCCTCTTCTCTCTCTCAACCTCCTTCTTACTGCGAGCTACTACTTGTAGTTTTATGCACATTTCATCATAATCTCGGATATCTAGATGAGCCAATTGTTCCCTCAATTCTGGTCTAGCCTTCTCCAATAAGCGCTTAGCCTTCCATTCGGAATCATCCCTATACTGCAGGTACGTGGAGTATCTAGATAACTCCTGAAACTTAGCAATGAATGTGTCCTCATCGAGGTTCCCTTGCTTAAAGGCATGGAATTCCGCTTCCTTCTCAGACCTTAACTCTGATGGAAAGTAATGCCTGAATAATTTTTCCTTGAATTCCTCCCAGGTGAGTGTAGAATCATCCCTGGGCCCTGCTGTCTCCCACCAATCTCTTGCTCCTTTCACTAGGAGCACTAATGCTACTTGTACTTTTTGATTGCTGGTGCATGTGACTACTCGAAAGATGGATTCGAGTCTCTTCACCCATTCCTCTACCACGGATGGTTTAAGGTTACCATCAAACGTAGGAGGGTTAAACTTCCTAACAGTTTCCCACACATCAGTAATGGTCGGTGGGGCTCTCTGTTCCTCCTGCCTAATTTCCTTCCTTCTAGACTCATGATCTCTCGGAGTGGCAGGATGTGAGGAACTGCCTTCCCCCACATGACTCTCAACATGAGCCCTATCTCCATTTTCAGTTACCTTTTGCCTCTTTAGCTCCGTCAACTCTTGTTCGTATCCTTGAACCTTGTCTGTTAATGTTTTTACAAGCATTCTCAATTCCGCCAAGTCAGGCTCCTCATTTGGCAGTGGCGGTGGTAGGTGCTCATGTTGGAATCCTGAGTTACCACGAGTAACAGGCATTTTCTCTCCCCTCCTAAAGGATACAAGATATAAATAATAAAATTAGCCTAGCTATATCATGGCCATACAATGAGAAGCACCATAACAATGCATATTGCCAACCGACTATATGCTCTGATACCAATATGTAACACCCTCAAATTTACAGACCGATTTTTCACAAGTTATTAATTCAACAAATCCTTTTTTTTATTTTTTTTTCATTGAACCCTTATCATGGTAGAAAAATTTCTACCACGATACATCCAAGACAATATACCACAGGTCTTAAAATATCTAAAAAAAACAATTAGAACCATGAGGGACAGACATGATCCTCATAGCATGTTATTCAAATCAGATCATAAATCAAGAGGGACAGACATAATCCTCTTGGTCATATAAATACTTTTAATAAAAAGGATTAGAGTTTACATGCTTCACAAAGAAGATATGTCCTAAGTTGGCACAAGATACATTGTATAATCTAAAATAAGAGGCAACATAAAAGATGGTGTCTCATACACCACAGTTACACCTCTGGTGCTTTCTCGGCCGGACTCGCTCCTGTAAAAATATTAACCACGGGGAATGAGACTTAAAAGTCCCAGTAACCAAAAATTAATATGTAATGATGCATGCGGATGTAACTAATCATGCGTATTGCTAAGTGGGCACACAAAACATTTAACCGAACAATACTTTCAAACAAACCGAACAAGTATTTAATTTGCATGACTGCACCTTATATCCTCCTTTCGCCATGCTCGGACGCCAAATCACCCGGCCAAAGGTGAGTTGGACCAAGCGACACGCCACTCATTGGGTCCAATGAGGGCTTACCACGTGGTAATAATTAACCGAACAGAAATTCCCATTAACACCATACATTAAAATACCCTGACAAGTCATGCATCATTCAAATATCCAAACAGGAATATATCCGAACAATAATATCTCATCATGATAAACAAAAATAAATTTTTAACCCACTTGGCAATAATTTCAAACAAGTATATACAGTATTTATTTTCAATAATTCATAATTTTTCCAAACAACAAAACAACACATAACCATTCACAAACACACTCATCACAACACATTAATAATGGTTACCTTGTGTCTTGAATAACAAGTTCCCCTTCACAACTCCTTTTTCACCACTATCTTTGTCAATATAATCTACATAATTATTTCACAATACTATATATTAATTTTACATTAAAATAAATAACTTTAATTTAAAGAGTTAGAAAGTCTTAGATCTATAGTCCATATTAACACTAATTTAAGATTTATGCCTCATTTAACTTTCCAAATTCTTTTCTAAAATTCTCGTACCCTAATGAACTATTTTTTTATCCTCAATTCACTTCTAGTATCACAATTTCATCCTTCTATATTCTAAAAATTCATCCAAAAATAAATTAAATTTTTAGAATTATCCTGAAGCCTCAAATCACCTTTCTATAACCTCAAAAATACCTATTCATACTTAGATAAATATTTAATAATCATAGGTTTATCCCTACGTCTCAGATTCCACATAAATTCAACCATATAGATCTAGATTTTAACTCAAAAATTCTTAAGCATGAGTTTCAACCTTAAAAAAATATTCTATAATATTTTTTATATCCCTAAGAATTTTAACCTATATTTTAATCCATCATATCATCAGATTAACTATCCTATAGAAAAATCCTAATCAAAATATTTACTCTATCCTACAAAATAATCATATCACTAGAAAGCTAATATTATTTAGAAAATAACTATAAAATTAATTTTGTAATTAAATAAATTTTTAAATGCTAATCTAAACAGGAAAGTTAGAACATACCTGAAGAAAAAGAAAATAATCCCCCCTTGCGAGAAACACGCCGAGCAACGTGAGAGGAAGAGAGAAAAATAATATAAAAATGGGATTGTGAGTCCCAAAATTATATTAAAAAAAACTATAGGTTTGAATTTAATTATTCAAACCTTTGGGCCAAAAGTTGCAATTTTCTCTAAATTGCATCTTAGCCTCTCATGCTTCCTAATGCACACACCCCCTCCTTTTTATACATGAAGGCACCTCTTCTCTTCCCTCATCTAACCAATGTGGGACTTAGAAACAACAACCTTCCACCCCCTTTTTTTTTGTTCCTTCTA